TACATATGTAATATCTTAAGATCACTTTACCAGAGTTACTGATCACTGCATGTTCCAAAGATCAAATTATCAAATGCCATCTTCCAGATGTCCTTACCAACTTGCTGTTTTTGTACATTTATTTTGCTTTTGGCTATTTGTATAATCTTGGATTGCTTTCTGACATTCTCCATGCCATTCAGAGAAGTTTGATTATGGATTGAATAGAAACGGAGTATAAATATATGGAATGTGATTTAAGTAATATCACTTCCTTCCCCCTTGCAGTAATATATAATATCTATGTATTTTAACACTTAAGACGTAAAACATCTGCCAAAGGAAATAGTAATACAGTATACAATTACTACTCAAAATTTGCCTTTTTGCCATATGAAAATGTATCTTCATCTATTGCCAGAAATGAGCCATAGAGCCACACTAAGTTCTTAGTGTTCCATGATCTGTTCATAGCTAAAATGAATAACATTCAATCCTTAGATAACACAATTTTTAAGATGGCTTTAAATGTGATTAAGCTTCCTGGAAAAGATCCATATTTTTTTAACAGAGGTCTAGATGGTAGATAGATTTGGTGCACTTTGGTCAATATTAAAGCTATTGTCAGTCCTGAATGATTTTTCTATTTTTTTTCCTAATAACAATTATAGTATGAATAACAAAACCAAAGAATAGGGCATTCTATGTATCAAATATAATCACAATCATATATACATACACGTTATGCTATTGTTCTGATAATATGATGGCATAACTCTGGACAATTCTTGCCCTCCAACATCCTATTCTCTATTTTCTACTTTAAATCTGGAATATCTTTTAGAAAAACCAGTCATTTTTGTCATTTTGTTTGGGTTTTCATAGTACAAGTGTACTAAAGTTTCTACAGTGTTTAAATTTTAATTCCACTCCTTAAATTTGGTGAACAACTCTTAATATTTAAGTTCATTCTTCAAGAGCTAGAGTTCTAACAGTTGGGGGGGGGGAGCATTTGTAGACAACAATGAATACCAGGTTTCCTTAATTTTATACTAAGCAAAAAACAAGCAAGGTTTTCAAGTCCTTCCCTGTGGCAAATTTCTTATACATACTTATGCACCATCGACCACAGGTCCAAGGAAAATGGAACATCTCAAAAGCCTAAACGCACTGTGAACAGTGAATCAGATATATTCTTTTTGTATGTTCCACTTGGCTAGTAGGTAGTTTCAGCTCTTATTTTTCTGTATGTTCCCTTAGAATAATATAGCTGGAATAAGCCATTTAGATAGCAGAATCACATTCTCTATCCAGCATCAGTAACAGATGGTGACCAGTCTCTGCTTGAAAATGAGTCCACCATCTCATAACATAATTGGCTCTATTGTCAGACTGCTCTGATTGGACCTTTCTTCCTCTCCTGAGATCAATCATGCTTTTGCCTTCATTGTATATTATAATTTTAGCATCTAAAGTATACCATTCATAAGAAACCTTCTACTTCATAAGGAATATTCTACTAGATCGTTAGTTTTGTAGTGATTGACTTGGGATTATTAATCAGGACACAGCTTTGCTTATTTTGTTACTAAAAATGTAGCTCTAAATGATGCCCCCTCCAATTCAGTGTTTGTTGCTACATGTATCTTCCTCTGGTACTTGCACAATGCACCCCATCAAGTCTTATTCCTGGTTAGAACACACAAAAGCATCTCATGCTGTGAATTAACAGAAAAGATAAGAGTTCAGAATAGAGCAAAAAAACAGCGTGAGAGCGCTAAAATAACAGCAGACTTATTTAAGCTTTGACTGCTTTACTTCCTAGTGTATTTTGTTAATTTTTTATGGATATGACAATTTTCTAAGTATGAGTCATAATGGGATAGGACAAAAGGTTGTCCTAGGCTACAACAGAACTGAGAAAACCAATACATTATTCTTGCTTGCAATTTAAGCATTTTATGTTTTATGACACAGGGCATTTTTGGATATAGAAAAATAAGAAGCCTGGAAGCCTGCAATTATTTTTCCCTTTCCTGATTTTATCATTTAACACTCTTTCTTTATAGACAACAAGCTCCTGCCAGAACAGAAATAAGTGGCATTAATGAATCGGTGGACATGTTTGGTAGAATAAAACAATTTCTCCTCCTGTTCTGAATTGTCATCAAACCCTTGTCATCTTAGCTTTTTCTTATTGAGAAATGGACTTAGGTTAAGAGAAACAAATATGGATTCAAAAGTATGTTTTGGGCTATTTCCTATACTAATTGTACTTCTATTATCCCAGGCTACTATACTTCTGTTAAATGAACCATCCATCACTCTCCCTGATTAAAATGTGTCTCTTCGCTTGAAGTCACAGAAATAAAATTTTCCTTCCTTGCTTGGAAGCAGTCTCCTAAGTTACTCAGGATGCACATTCTTAGTCTTCTTTCCTTTGGGGAAGAAAAGGCCACACAGATCCCTGAAGAGGTTGCCTTTCTTGCCCTTGAGCCTATGGCTCCCCCAGGGAGGTGATTGCCAAAACCAGCCTCGCTTTCCAGTCAAATGCCTCCCTGAAGAGAAGGCAAGGCTGGTGATGTCAAAGTCCGTTTAACTTCTTGCAAGAATGTCTGCATCTTCCAAGTAGAAGCTGAGGCAAGAGACTCCCTGAGCAGTTATAGCTGCTCTTGCAAATCCAATGGGGATGAAATCCTTGTCAAGTAACAGCAAACCTTTTGGTAAACAACCCAGCTTCTTTTCTTGGCGTAATTACAGCAACCCTTTTATTCATACCTAGAGAAGCAGGTGTGATGCATTGCTAACAAATCTTGCTTTCTTATTCAAAATGCTGTTTTAAGCAGGGAAACTGGGTTTACTGGAATCTTGCCGAACATGAGTAGTGCAAGCCTAATGGATAAGGCTTCAAGCAAGTTTAAGATCTGAAAAATTGCTGTGATACGTAAAGGTTTCTTTGTCTTCCAAGGTCAAATGCAATGATTCCATGTTAATCTGTCTCTTACAATGGAAGATCCATAGTTGTAGTCTAAAGTGTTAGCCAAAATGCAGAAGCCATTAACTATTCCTTAAAATGCTAACAAGGGGCAAATCTATTTAGAAAGATGCCAGGAAAAATGGTATTTTAGCTGGCTACTAAAGTCAGTTTTTTTAGGCATCTTTGCTGTGACTGTGTTGATCAGCCTGTCATAAGTATGACAATTACTTTAGGCATCTTTTTAAAAATATTATAAAAAGGAAGTTGAACATTCCCACCTTAGTCACCACCACATATGTGTCATTTTTGGATCAAATTTTTTTGCTGAGAAAGAGTAAACATTACCGAGCTATAGATTTGTATTTGTGTGTGTGTGTGTGTGTGTGTGTGTCTGTTTTTTTTTTTTAAGAAAAATCCCAGAACTCCTACAACACTGCAGGTTAGATCAATATTATCCTCATCCAGTTCACAACAGGGATGATGGAAGGGCAATAAAACATAGCACATTTCTGTTGGAGGCAAGAATTTGCACAGGTTTCCAGAGTCTTAATCCACCTCTTTAACACTTGTCCACTAATAAGGATGATCATTTCACTCCTGTTTTCGGTATGGGCTACCAGTTCCAGCCTAAGTTAAGCTCAAACTGCTCTTCTTTCTTGGTATTTTCTATCTAAAGAATCTCCTTTTCTCTATACTTCTGCTTGTTAGTATATAGATCACTTGCTCATTAACTTCTTTTCTGGTTTGCTCTGCTTCATGATTAAGACTCGCCTATTTTCACCTTCTGGAAAACTTCTGCCAGATATAGGACCATTAACTGACACAGTTCTCTATTAAGGCCATTTAAAATTGAAACAGTTCTACCTGAAGGACTGTCCCATTTATCTGAACATAAAGATATTGGGCTCCACTTTCACTAGTTACCCCCTATTTCCATTTTATAAGGCAGCCACAACTTCTCAAAAGAAATGAACATTTTCTAAAGCAAAGTCAAGGGAAGAGTGGAATCAAAACTTAAAACCAAGCCATTGGTAAAATAAAAGTGAGATAACAAGGAAAATTATTTGGGTCCAAAAGGCTAATTAAAGAATCCAGTGAAAGCAAAGCATGTCTACAAGCTATAAAAAGTTTAATCAGCTTGAAAAGAAAGACTGAAAACTGAAGTTGGTGAGCGGGGATATCAAATGGGAAAAATAAATGAAGCCCTAAAAAAGGAGCAAATTTAAATTTCTGTTCAGGTCCTCCTCATCACTGTGCCAACTAGGTGGCAGTATGTAACTGGCTGAAAAACTAGGTGGATTAAATCTGGTCAGTATTTCTGTGAAAGACCATCACAAAGCCAAAGTTTGTGCACAAAAAATCTCCCAGAAACCATCTCTGTAATGGAGGAATATTTTAGCTTTACTTCATTGCTCTAGTGAGGCTAGGCAACATTAGGCAAAGGAATTTGAGGACATGTCCAAAAAAGCGCTGCATCAACTGCACTCCCGTTGTCTAAAATGCAAATCTTATGCTTATCAACAGAGTAAATTGTTATAATTAAATTGGAGTAGTGTTCCTCTATATCATATTACTTCTCTGCTTTTCTTTAGGGATTTTTTTTCCTCAAGCTTAGAGATAAAATGAGGATCCCATAGGACAGACTCTATCCATCCCAAGTGGTATGCAGTATCTCTACTTGAGGTATCGATAGGTTGAGAGATTCAGATGCTTATCTTTTGAGCCAATTTCCTTTGTAGAAAAGGAAAAAGATAAAAATACAAAAAATAAAATACTGAAGAACTAATACCTGCCTTCATGTCCCCAGAGAGGGCAACTCTGAGAGCAAGATCTTACCAAAGTATTAAACCAATACCTTAGCAGCTGCTCCTATCATCCCTGGATGTGAAATATTTGCATCAATAAAACAGACACATAGAACTAAATCTAAACTTGGAGAAAATGGTTTTAGAAAAAGAAAAGAAAAGAAAACCCATGAAGACAAGACATAGCAACACACAGTACAAAAGAGTAATTATACACACAAACACACCCCAAAAAAAACTCAAAAGGAGAAAAAGAGCTTTACCACAATTTTGGAACATTTTACCTGTAACAGAAAATGGGCTTAAAATGAAACAGGACCAAATTTTCTACAAACCAGTAGATGAATACAAATACTCTGTTGTTTTTAGCAACTCAGAACAGAAATCTTTGACACGAGTATTCATGAACAATTATTTAAAAAAAAAAAAGATTTGTATGTGGAGGAGGAATCACGGGAGTCGAGAACCCAAAAAAAAAATAGGAGAGGAACAAAGCTCCCACAATATCTAAACAATTAACCATTGTTCTTGGATATCCCATTCCAAGTGAAGAGGAACCACAATGGTTCCTGAAAACTGATAATGGCTGTCTCCATCCTACCCCTGTCTTCCAGAAAGTATATCCTAGAGCAGTCCCTTTATCAGCATTTTTAAGAAGCTTTTTTAGACAAGATTTATTCATCTGCTTCTTTCTTTTCCATCCCAATTCATGTACAAGACACAGCAATCATCTCAACATGGCTGGACGGTAAATGCAGAAATCTCAGTAGGGTTGGAAGGTCTGTCCTTGTTTCAAAAATCTTTCAACAGAAATTCCACTGATGCTTCCTTTCATGGGATTTGGTTTGCCACGGCCAACTCATTTCCCCCATTCCCCACAATTGATTTCCCAAAGAAAGGAAAATGTCTTCTTTGCTCCAAGCATGCCAATTTCTTCTGTGCTATCAGATGAAGAAGCCTCTTGTAGTTTTTTTCACTTTAAATTCCATTTAAGATTGTGGAATTGTATGCCTAGTCAACTTTTAAGTTCTTGACTCAGCCATTCAAAGGAAAACACACAGAAAATGCAGCAACAGAAGGTTGAACAATCCCCTTTCCCAAAGCGTATCCCTCCCCCGTTTGTCCCAAAGTTGACTTGGTACTGGTTTTTGTTTTGTTTAGAAGTCTGCATGTCCCAAAACACTCTTCCTCCCAACCCTCCCTGACCCACCCAAAACAAAATAAAAAACTCCACAGGTTGCACCATCTACCTGATGGTCAAGTTTGGAGAAGCAACTGCTTCTGTTGCTACTTCAATTTTTTTTAAGAAAAAAACAGACAAGAGGGTTGTGCAGTGGGGACCCAGCCTTAGGATTGCTTCAGTCGTTTGCGTGGGGGTCCCAGAAAGGGGCACTGTGCAGAGGCCAGTGAACGGTATGCCTCTGCTACCAAATGAGGGTGAGATACTACCATCGACTTCCAGCCTGCAGTCTCCATGACATCAGAAGCGTGGCTGAAAATAATAATTAAGAATTCAAGATTACCAGACTGAAAAATGTTAATGAAAATCAACTATATCTCAGCTAAATATTACCAGTCTAAAAATGTGTCTCGACACAAGAAACTGTATTTTGCACTACACACCTTTGGACATTATTCTTTAATAAAGATGTCTCTATTCCTGTACAACTATTTTGAGGCATATTTATTTATTTCTTTATTACATTTTTATGATCATCCAACTCAAATATTTGCGACTCTGACATACAATAAAACAAGGTAAACAAAAAAGGCAAATAATCTTAAAGGGATGAAGCAGAATTAGTATTACTGCTGTTGCCATCTTCCTTGGCAAAAACAGTTGAACAAAAATGTCCCTTTCCAAAAAGGAGCTTCATCTATATGTGCAGTAGAGCTGTTGGATGATAAATTCTGAGAGCTGCAGCTCTGACACAACTGGACAGAACCATCTTGAGGAATGCTGTAGTAAGAATCTGTTTATTCAAGACAAGAACAAACATTCGAACAGCTGCTGGCTATTTGCCATTTCTCCAGAGTTGACATCTTTAGGGTAGGAACAAATCTTGACACAGAACTTTTAGCTACTCTTAGACACAATCGTTTTCCCTGGTAGCCTGCAGAGGATCTGAATGTAGGTTTCATCATCCCCCTTTGCTAAGCTGAGAAGAAGAATAAGAGAATTCTAAGGTATCTCTAGGGTGCAGACTCTGGAAAGACATCCTAACTTAAATAAATAAAGAAAAAAAGGTTAAAGGTTTCCCCTGTCCAGTCGTGACCGACTCAAGGGGGCGGTGCTCATCTCCGATTCTCAGCCGAGGGAGCCTGCGTGGTCTGAGAGACGCTTCCGTCATCATGTGGCCTGCATGAAAGTACGGAACGCAGTAACCTTTCCCACCGAAGCGGTACCTATTTATCTACTCGCATTTGCATGCTTTCGAACTGCTAGGTTGGCAGGAGCTGGGGTGAGTAATGAGAGCTCACCCCACTGCGCAGTGCTCAGATCTTGAACCCAGGCTATCAGCTTTCCAGCTGACAACCCCAGCATCATAATCGCTGAGTCATCGCTCCGCCCATCCTAACTTAAGTAAAATGCCAAACTTTGCTTTGAAGATTATCCTTGCTAGATTTAACTCACTAGAATAAATAAAAAAAGCCCACTTACTAGTTTATGAAGTCAACTGCCTGAGTTTTTAGCTGGTCAGCACTGTGTAGATCAGCCAGAATTAGGATCTCTGCTGCATTCTCCACTGACAAATTGCTGCACAAAGCATCTTCACACATCACTTTCAAACGTTCCAAAGCATACTGCAAAAAAAGAAAAAAGAAAAAAAAAAGGACTGTTTAAACATGCATGCCAAGTTTTTCAAAACTTTCTGGCAACATGAAACAGCATCAGAATCCAGGCCACAAAGCATAGTGAGTTGGATAATCATACTTACAATATAACTAGTATATATATATATGGGGATTTAAGTGGGGCTTCAGTAAACATCCATTTGGAGCTAATCCCATGCCACATTATATAATAGGAATCTCTAAGAACTAATTCATGCACAGTCATGTATGCTAGGCATCAGTCACTGTTGCTCGTAAAGAATGAGAAACCATATTTCTTAAAGCAAATGACAACAAATTAAAAGCAGAAACAATGCTGCACTTCACATTGCTGTCTCTCTTTTTAACCACAAAATATTCAAATTAGGGCCAACTCTCGATCCCAGAACTAAAATTTAAAAAACACACTGATTAGTTAGCAGAAATTATTTTTTGGGCTGAACTTTGAAGAACTGAGCACAGGGAATATGCATGCTTGCATGTGAACCTATATTAGTTCTTTAGGTACCACAGCATCTCAGGATCTCTTCCCATCCTCCTCATAAACATTGGAAAGACAAAAATGAACTCTCTAATCATATCTTCACCCAAGAGCCCAATGGCAGATCTCTGGGGTTTCAGATAGGCATTGCATTTTGTTTATAGAATAATTACGTATTTTTCCCAAGAGACTGGAGGAAGACAGAACAAACTGTTCCATAACCTCTTGGGCAAGTATTAAGAGGTTTTATGTGCTGCCATAAAAGGTTTTGCTTTCTGTTTTCAAAAAGACACCCAGAGATGTTTAGAAAAAGGGAACTATATAAAAAGTCACAAAACCTCTTCAACAATTAAACCCCCATTCAGTACCACCACTCTACTCGTGTTATGTAAGTGTTGCTGCAGCTAAGTGGGTGTTAAACATATTTATTACAGAACCATGCTGGAAAACCAAGGTAGCTTTTGCTGTGCAAATACAAATGGATGAATGGTGGAAAAATATGTAGAAGAAAGGTTAGGGGGAGGAGTGTTCTTTAAAATGTTAACGCTTCAACTGCCATATTCTAAATTCATGTGTGCTTTCTTCTCTTAAAATATGGCTTGGATCTCCAGTGGTTTTTTTTTTAACTGATTACTAGAGAATACACAAATAATTCATGTTTCTGGAAACCCATCCTTCTCAGTTATATCTCTGCTTCTAGTTCCATACTTGCAGCCTGGCTATTTCCTGATGTGCTGGGATACAATTAAGTATACAAGTTGGAAATTCAGGGAGAATATTAGATTGGAGGCAGATAGCCAGCGTGGAGTTTGATCAGAACAATTTTAAGTTATTCACTGAAGTATATACAAAGAAAGAGAAATGTAACTTGGTTTCACTGATATCTACCAATTTAATCTTAGCACCAGAATATTGTGCTATGTGAAACAATGGTTACGTGGTTGCAGACCAGCACAGATGATTTGGAGGTTAGAATGTGCTGTGATGGGAATTTTACATGTTTTTTTAAATCCTGACTGGTCTCCTCTGCCTATGTTATCCTCTGACAATAGATTTATGGGTTTGCTACATTCTACTTCAATAGGGTCAGCTTGTAATATTGGGGTTCCAAAAGATAAAAACTTAAGACATGCCTACTCAAGATTATGAGCAGGTAGAGATAAACAAGAGCTAAGATGGATAATATAGAAATACCCCAAATACATTGACATCATGAGTCTATTCTAGTCTCTCCCAATTTTTATTTTTCTACAAGATAACAGCTAACTTTCCCTTTTACCTTGTCAGCAGCTGCAAGCAGATCGTCAGCCATTTTGTCAAGATTAGGTGCCTTTCCCGTATAAATGAAGCACATCATTTCTTTGAAAACTTCAGGTTCCACATCATTGATTTCAACTCGATTCTGTACCAGAGAGGAGAGGAAAATTATTATTCTGAGGCAAGAGATACCTTTCCTAGCCTAAATCTCTCTTTCAGCAAGAATAACTCTGTATGCAGGGGTGCATCCCTATATTTATATTGCTGCTTATCTCATTTAGTGATTCTGGGTGTCTTCAGACCTTTTAGATTGATGGCTGCACCTGACCTCAGGTGAATGACAACGATTGCCTTTCAAAAATATAAGTTAAGGTTAAGAAAACAGATTAAATTTAATTTTTGTATCTTATTAAAAGTCAAAATAACAGTTAATTTGTAAAAATATGTAATACTTTTCCCACTATATTACTGAAAAAATGAATTTGATGATAAATTTTGGAATGTTCTATGTGCCAGATCCAAGATTTAAGGGCCTGTATTTATAGAGTCTGCTGTAAACTATGTATATGCAAACATAGGTTAAGAATATGTGTCCCTTATAGCTCTACAAGAAGACAACTTCTGCAACTTCTTCCTTAGCCTGTTTTTTCCACCAAGTCTACCGGTAATAGAAGAAATCAATACAATGATACAATAGCAGAGTTGGAAGGGACCTTGGAGATCTTCTAGTCCAACCCCCCTGCCTAGGCAGGAAACCCTATATCGTTCCAGACAAATTGCTACCCAACATCTTCTTAAAGACTTCCAGTGTTGGGGCATTCACAACTTCTGGAGGCAAGCTGTTCCACTGATTAATTGTTCTAACTGTCAGGAAATTTCTTCTCAGTTCTAAGTTGCTTCTCTCCTTGATTAGTTTCCACCCATTGCTTCTTGTTCTACCCTCAGGTGCCTTGGAAAATAGTTTAACTCCCCCTTCTTTGTGGCAACCCCTGAGATATTGGAACACTGCTATCATGTCTCCCCTAGTCCTTCTTTCTATTAAATTAGACATACCCAGTTCCTGCAACTGTTCTTCATATGTTTTAGTCTTTTAGTCTTTAGTCTTTCTCTTTTCTGCACTCTTTCTAGAGTCTCCATATCTTTTCTACACTGTGGCAACCAAAACTGAATGCAGTATTCCAAGTGTGGCCTTACCAGGGCATTATAAAGTGGTCTTGATTCTATCCCTCTGTTTATGCAGCCTAGAACTGTGTTGGCTTTTTTGGCAACACAGTTCTAAGCTACATAAACAGAGGGATAGAATCCATTGTTAGTGATATCACTAGCAATGGATGTTATAGAATCATTCTAAGCAGAAGACCAGCTTTTTTCCCAGTCACTTTGGAAAGGAAGATGAGCAGCATATAAATTTAATAAATAAGTAAACAAAATAAATACATTTCCTATGTGTTATTTTATTTAGTTGCTATTTTAAAGAATTATTTGCATTTTTTCCTTTCTCTATTTTCTCAAGAGTTTACACCATAAATTATATTATGCTTATCTCTACCATATCATATATATAACAAGTAAGGTGAAATGTTTATATATTTATTTAGACCCTGACTCTATTCAGTTTCACAGAGACTACAATCTCAGATTAGCATCCACTGCTTCAGATCTAACTGCTGGAAATAAAGAACTTAAAATCAATTGCCCAATAACACTGACAGTTTGTTTTCATGGGCAATGATGGATCTCTTGTCAACCCACTATAGAAAACTAACTATCCAAGTTGCAATCTAGATTCATATCTCTTCTCTGTTCCCAGAGCAAAATGCCTTGTCAACCTTGACACCTTAACAAGACTATATTTCATTGTGCCTCTCTTGTCTGAGCGGGACCTTTGTGAGTTGAGGTCAAAAGTCTGCAATACTTTTCAGTTATTAGCTAAGGTTTTCCTCCACAATATCTTCCTGTCTGGGCAGCTCTTCTTACCTTTTTACTTTCTTCCATCTCATGTTCAAACATTGCACTGAAAACTGGAGAGCGGGCTGTATGCATGGTGGATTGGCATAAGGAAAAATGGAAAAAAATACAGTGTTAAACAGATATTCTTTCTTTCTAGAGAGAAATTGATATATATCATCAGTTCTTCTAATTCAAGCAATGTATAAAATGGACAAGTAAAAAATAAATTGTATGCTTGCAAGAGAATCAAATCAAAATTTCTGCCCAAGGGAATATGCATATGTTTTCCCAGCAATTTATTCCCATCTATGCAATGAGACAAAGAGAAATCCTGGAATTCAACTATTTCAATTTTCAGGTTTCCTCAATTCCATTTCTTCTTGCTACAATATTAGAGATCCTTTTGTGTTGTTGTGCACTTATCAACATAGAATATAAATGCTTTGTGATACTGTACTAAATTAAGAAATAATCAAACACAATAAACATCCACATATATACTGTACCACAGTGATCCCCAACCTTTGCAATTTGGTGGCCAGGTGGTGGGAGAGAGGGAAACTGGGACACACTAGTGGTGGGCCAACATACACGTGCAAGTGCCCGTCAGCCTGCTGCTCATGCAAGTTGAGCTGTGCGTGTGCATGCATGTGCTCCATCCAGCCATTCACATGGACCAATTCCAAATAAGCCATGGCTTAATAATGTGCCGTGAGCTGGGAGTTGGGGACCCCTGCTGTACCAGATAGAGATGGATTCTGCAATCTACATAAAATATGGAAGCTGGAACATCTATCTTGCAAAATCCATTCTTATTTTGCAGCCACAAGGATAAATTCTATATAGAACCTAGAAATCTTCCAATAACTACAAACCTTAATCTTTTGATCTGTGGAATTTCAGAAGAATTTAAAACACAGAATTTAAAATAGTTATGGTCAGTCCATAAAACTGAAGTGCACGTGTGATCACATGATCAAAATTTGAGTGCTTGGCAGCCTGCTTACACTTATGACTATAGGGCACTTCAAGTCCTACCACCTACTTCCCTTCCATCTGTGGCCCCTGCAATCCGTGCTTCCTATAGTCCCACACTCTGCCACCTCAGTTGAAGTTTGCTGACTTCTTGCTCCTGCTGCTGACCATGCATGCCTGGCCTGGCCTTCTGCGAAGCAAGTGTTGGACATGTGAGGCCTTCGTCTTGTGGTCATGAATAATAGTTTCTTCACGAGTCCTATTTTTTCCTTCTGCTCAATTATATCCAATTCTCAGAGACTGTTGGACAAGCCCCTGCAGTTTTCACAAGTGGTTTGCCATTGCTTCCTACTTAGGGTTGAAAGAAAGTGACTGGCCCAAGCTCACCAGCTGCCTTTCTGCTCAAGGTGAGACTAGAACTCACACTCTCATGGTTTCTAGCCTGATGCCTTAAACACTATAACAAATTGTAGTCAATACCAACCTGCTAATATGGCTTTGTGAGCTTGAAACTCTTGGCCGGCTACACACAGGGAGCAGTCCGTGAAGCGAGAGTTTTCCCAGAGGCCTCCCAATTCATCAGCCAAGCGGCATTCAGGTACCTTCACCATGTTCATGGAATTCTGACCAGAGATGTTGACAGAATCCTGTACTACACTCACCTGCAAGGAAGTATAGAAGACCATGCTCTTTATAAACATACTGGTAATAGCAGTAAAAATATATAGAAAAACTTCCCCTGTCAAGAACAAATTCCAGAGCAATACAGACCTTTTTGTAAGAGAACCCAGAAACACACAGGAAAAAAATTGAGTTTTCCTACCCCCCTCTCCAAACCACACTGAAATGAAGACAAATTATCAACCATTTCAAGACAATATATGAAATAAATCTACACATATATACAACATTGGGAAAAAACTCAGAGACAGCACAGAAAACCTATTTTATAGGTTTTACAACAACATATTCAATTTGCTATAATCCCTCTCTGCCTCTCCAACAGAAGACCTATCAGGTCTTCTATACCTCACCCCTAAATGGTCACTTAATAAATAGGGGATTGGTTCACACAATGCACTAGGTTAGATAAAATGAGTTCATGTAACTTATGGTTCAGGGTATTGTGGGAACCTACCTATTTATCAATCTATGTGAAGAAGCCTTTCAAATTAAGCCATAATATAGTCTGTATGAGCAGAGCATTTGGAGAATATAGCTGTTTCTACTGCAATCCTGGATTTAGAATGTTGTATGAATCTAAATAGTAAACTATCATATGTGCAGATAAATGAAAATTCAAGTTTATGCTAGTTTGGGCCAAATCTCCCAAATGATTGATCAGATGTGGATGTGCATATCTTAAAATTCTTCTCCGTTAGGCAGCAAGTTAATACTATAACAGCAGGCTGTGTTTATCACTAGTCACATGTCTTTCTGAGCTGGCGTACCATCTGATGGTCCCCAAGAAAGAACAAAACCCAGGCTCCAGTAATGGAACACAGATTCACAAATTAAAAGCTAACTCATTTTTTAATATACAGAGGAAAAAATACTATCTCTAATCAAATCAAAAATCCATTTAGTCTGGCAGATTATGTTGCAGAATGCTTGATCTGTAGGAAGAACAAACTCAAAGCTAGGGTGAAAAAAAACCTGTTTTCCAACTGCCACTTCTCAGCCCAAAGTGTTCAGAACGTATGAAAAGGAAAGTGTCATTGTGACTGTTAGCTGTGATTTTATAACTATGAAGAAATCTGAAATCAATCTTATATTTGGTTCTTTTACAAAAGTATACCCAAGAAGCAGATCTGAAAGTTATTGAAAAGGTACCCACCCTTGGCAACTGCAACTGAGACCAGAATTTCTCCAAGTAATGCAGTTCTAAAGTGCAAATCATGTGAATGCATTGCTTAGCGAAGGCAATCCCAGCAGTCCCTTATTATTTTAATTAAAATGGTTAGGCCAACTTCAAGTCATCTCCATGATTTTAGAACCACATCCACGGAGTTTCTTAACAGCAATGTGGAAATGGCTTGCCACTGTATTCTTCCAGATACTCATTGTCCTTAGACTGGCATTCTCTGAATGAGTCCCCTTCAGTGCAAACCAGATCTGACCATCAGGGTTCCTGATGTTAGGTTTTGTTTTTCTTTACTGGTTGAAGTTGGGGAAATGTAATTATTAGAGAAAGTATTAAAGGGATGATATATATTTATTTAGAGTGGCTGCTTAGACTTTCTAGGAGTGGGGCAATTTGTTAAGAGTGCTTTTAGAAGTCAATGAAAAAGTTTTGACTTGGGGGGAAAAAGTCTTAGTCAGTGTAGAACATTCTTCTCCATTTTGATAAACTGTAGATATACTACTAACCTGATATCTAATTCTGAGGCAGCACAAAAGCTGCCCTTGTTACCATGGAAATTTTGGAAGATGCTATCCCACATTTGGAAAAGGCTACAATAAAATATTATATCAATACTTTTGCTTGTTTTAAAGTAAATTTGTGCTTTAGAATACAATTTACTTATTTACTGCATAATTTACTTACATGGCATGTGGAAACCTTCCCAGAAAATGTATTTTTTTAAATTTTTAATTATATATTTCAATATCTCAATTTCATTTTCAATATCTCAAAATATTCTCTGAGTACCACAGTGGTGTAACTATCTTAAGTGTTTTGATTTTCATATAAAGCTAGATAAAATTCAGCACTGAGAGGAGGGTGATTCCAAATAAAAGTTTATCCATCCCAACACAGTGGAGATATTTAAAGTTCCACCTCCCCCAAAAGTCAACTTTATGATGAACAAATTAGATTTATGATAGGAGCCAAGACAACAAACTATTTTTATGAACACCTTCCCAAATGAAACCATGAAGTTCTACATCTTTCCTTACCTCACAGAAGAGAGTGAGCTTGTCATCTGGAAGGAGCCCATTCGCCTCATCTAGGAGAAAATCTCTTCTGATAAACTTCTTGAATCCCCAATCTTTGCCTTGCACAAACCGATAGGCTCTCTGGCTCTCTGGCAATGTACAAAGAGGTTAGCAATTAAAAAAAATAGAATAAATAAAAAGAAATTTGAAGACACACCAAACAGAAGTCTTTATTTTTTGCTCTGTTTGGGTATGAATAAAATATAAGTACCCAGTTACTGGCTATGCATACCCATTGCTTTAGTTTCTTCTCCTTTTGCATTCAAAATAGAGAACTTGAATTTGGCTCGGACTTCACTCTTTGGACAACTGACCAGTAACAGATAGAGGGAAAGATAATCTTTACTTTCTTCATCCAAGCCCTTTGGGTTCACACGCAAACACCTGCAAAAGCAGAAAAAACATGTTCAATCTCTCTATATAAATGACTCAACTACAGTGAAACAACTTTCTATCTACAGATTTTCTTTTCAAAAATTGTATCATGAATTATGATTATGCTTATTACATTTTAGTCTGCATTTACTAAAGACTATTGAACAATGAAATTTTGATTTCTCGCAGTTGATCATAGAAAATTGCTAAGACACACTTACAAATGGGTAACTAAAATTCAAAAGTAAATGCAGCACTTTCTTTCCTCAACTGTTTCAAAACCAACTTCATCAATCCAGCCTTTTACTGACACATTTTTACAGGTGACAGTTCTGAAAAGTAGTATTAGTAAATTCAGCAATAGCTATCAATGAATATGAACCTAAAGTATAACTTTAAATCTAGCTTTGAGAACCAATGAATCTTCTGCTGCATCCTATCTGGCATTTAACTGGTCCTTACCATTTCAATTTATCATTAGCTCCTGATGAAAATGTTGAACTTTTGATGACCTCACCCATTTCCTCTCGACAAAAGCTGAAGTTATTGATGGTCCACATGTAGGAAAATTTGACCACTTTAATCTTTAAAAAGAACAGGAGAGAAGGGAAGTATTGGTTAGAAATTTGCATACATTGTTACAAAAAACAAGATCACCAAAAAGAACCCCCATGTTCAAGAATGAAGGAAAAATAAATTTAAAACTCCATCCTCTTGAAATATCATAAATATCTCTTTAAGAAACTGTAATATGTTGTTTATCAAAGGCTTTCTACAATATTTCTATTCTTGTCCTTCTCTATCAGAAGTCTGGAGGAAAATTTATAAGGTTATTAAGTTAGTATTTTTTGTCCGGCACCAATTTATGTGAAAAAGACAGGAGTATGTCCACTTTGAGAAAAGATTTGCTACTACTGAATTCTTTTGCAGTAGCCCTTTTTAATGACCTGTGATTTAGTGGATGTTCAAATTTATGATGGCACTCCTTATAGTTGTAGCGATCACGGAGTCCCCATGGTCACTTGACCGCAATTCCGGTACCTAGTAACCAGCTTCAATTATGACAGTCACAGTAACCCGAGGCCCTGTCTCAACTGGAGATGCCTCTTAGTCATACCACTCCAGGTGCAGGGAAAGATGTCCTTGACTCTGAATGTTATTTAGACTATATAACTCCCATACTCCAAATAATCCCCTCTCATTTTCCCACAGCATTTATTGTGGCCTGAATGCAAAATATGGCTTCCAGGCCTGACAGGTCACATGATCACCAATTGCAATCTTCACTACCGACTTCCAACAAGGACTAGTTTGTCCCAACTCTATGGGATGCTAACGTCATGTGGGCTTTACCTAATAACACAATTGGGACTGCCATCATAGTTGATGGGGTCAGATATTGATGCATTTTTTGATCACATGTCTTAACAGAATTGCCAGTCCCTATTAATGTCAGTAAGCAAGGACTACTTGTACTTGCATTCATGAGGAGTACAATTTGATGAGTTTCATGTATCTTGATTCCAGAACGGAATAGGAAAAGCTTCCGTTCTGCCTGTCCCTTCACAACCCTTTGGTTGTGTTAAGAGGAGTTCTGATTTCAATGATTATTAATATGTGCACAAAAGATTACAGCATAACAATTGCTAACATAACTGCAGGTAGTCCTCAACTTATGACAACAATTGAGCCCAACATTTCTATTGTTAAGCAAGACAGTTAAGTGTGTTTGTCCCATTTTATGACCTTTCTTGCCAGTTGTTAAATGAATCACTGCAGTTGTTAGTTACATGGTTGTTAAATGAATCTCGCTTCCCCATTGACTTTGCTTATCAGATGATCGCAAAAGGTGATCATGACTCCGGGACACCGCAACCGTCATAAACATGAGTCAGTTGTCAAATGTTTGCATTCTGATGATATAACTATGTAAGAACAATCATAAGTGTGAAAAGTGATAAGGCATTTTTGAGTGCTGTTATAACTTTGAATGGTCACTAACTGTTGTAAGTTGAAGACTACCTTGAATGTATTTTTAATGCTAGGTAAATGTCAATGATAAAGAAGAAAATATAAAAAGCAAACCTATCACATTGGACCTTTCCTGTTTCAGTGTAAAGTACATTTGTGTAATATTCTAGTTATAAGGCCCCTCAAAAGTTGCTACCCAAGACAAAGATGGGCACAAAATGTTATTAATCTGATCCTCACTTGATTTTGTTGAGTGGATGGATGTCTTAGCTATTCTAAAACCTTAGATTGTTGGGAAAGCAACAACAATAACTGGTTTCATGCTCTGCAAGTCTGTTTTTTTGTGAACAATTTTCATATGCCAGAGGTTCTTTGAAAACTTAACATAGCTTCTAGATCAGTGTTTCTCAACTTGGTGACTTGAAGTCCACAGGACTTCAAGTCACCAAGGTTGAGAAACACTGATCTAGATGACCACATGGTTACCATCTATCCCTGAGAAATCTGGCAAGAACAATATATATAAATTTGGAAATTCCACACTTTCCAATTACAATTACTGTACAAATTACAATTACGCACAAATATTACAATTTATCAAGTTCAGTTATCTTGAAATCATGTCACTCTGTAAAACACTTGCTTGAATCTAATTGAAAAGAGAGGAAAATAAATGCCAGCTGATCTAAAGTCATTAGTTGATATTCCAAAGTGCAAGCATACTTGAGTGTAACACCAGCTCTCAGCAACAGGTCCGCTTGACATCTCTGCCGGAGGAGGAGGACTCGGTACCCTTGACATCGCCAGCTTGGAGATCAGATAGGATTTCACAGGTTAAAGAAATATGCCAATGTAATCTTCACCCTAATTGCACAGGAAGGGGGAGGGGGAGAGAAAGAGTTTAAATATGTAGCAATTTCTGTTTATACAGCAAGATACCAAACTTAGTTTATGGTGTTTCAGTTATGCAATACCAAATCATCTCCTTCTTGCTGTGTTTTTGTATGAAATGTATACTTCATTCTATACATGCCCTGTCAAATTGTTACACTTAATGAAATATCAAAATATGGTTGGCTGTTCCCCAGGCTTGGGACATTTTCCAATTTCCAAGTCCCTAAGATCTTCCTCTAACTTATTTACTATCCTCATTTAAAGAAAAAACAGAATTATTGCCCAAATAATACCATTAGAACTGAGGGCCAGGAAATCAACTGCTAATTGCCAAAATTGAGATAAGAGACTATTTAAAGGAAGTGTCACTCTCACTTAAGAATGATGGATATAGTAAAATGAATGTGGAATTGGTAGTGACCAAGGATGGAGTGGTTTGTCCACCCTTGGTCACTACCCATGTCTTTTTCAATTCTTCAGAAATGGTGACTTTTCTTCCATTCAGTTATCAATTTCCTTATCCTTCCATTATCAAATTCCTTACTCTCCATTAACAAATTCAGAATTCTTCCTTTGTTGCAAATATTTCCATGATGTAAATCCATGATAGGAGTGAAAACTTTGCAGTATTTACTCTGACATATTAGAGGTCAGAGTGACTTGGCCTTAAAAATGAGGTGATAAAGAGATTCAGCAAGATTGCACGATGTAACTCATTAACTGAACAGAGAACACAGAATAACCTTGAAAGGGACCTTGGAGGTCTTCCGGTCCAACCCCCTGCTCTAGCAGGACACCCTGCTCCAGTTATGAAGCACCCACAACTTCCAGAGATAAGGAATTTTACTGATTGTTCCCAATATCAGAAAATTTCTCTTTAGTTTTAAGTTGGATTTCTCTTTAATACTCTTCTAGCTGTTACTTCTTGTCTTGCTCTCAGATGCTTTGAGAAATAGGTTAGCCACCTCTTACCTGTAACAGGCTCTCAAATATTGGAAGACTGCTATCGTATCAACCCTAGTTTTTCTCTTTAATAAACTGGACATACCTAATTCCTCAATTGTTCATCATATAGTTTAGCCTCCAAATCCCTTATCATCTTTGTTAATCATCTCTGTACTGTTTCTAGGTCCCAACCTCTTTTTTAAAGAAGAAAATAATTTGAAAAGAAAAAAATAGTATGAGTAAAATGAGTTTGGGAGCACATAAATGTTGGGAAAGACTACCCTTCCTATGTATATATGACAGCTTGAAGTAACTTTATTATGTTCCTTTCAATGTATGTTGGTATTTCCTATGATCAAGCTATCATCAAAAAGACTTTTGACATCAATAGCAGCTTAATACATACAATTCAAATACATACTGAAAACAAAAGGAAGTTGACTTGAGCATGGGATATAATCATATAGTACTACAGTAATCACTGAAACTTTGGCCCACAACCTAGCTTACATTGGTTATCATAGTTAGAGGCATTCAGAAATAACTGTTTGTTGAACTTACATGACAAAACCTAAAATTGTTACCATTACCCTATTATTCAATATTAACATAACCCATAGCTAAACAAAATGAAATAATTTGGTTTTGTAAATCAGAGTTGGGTGACATTTGAGGCCAATAACCTCACTAGTGCTGTTGCCAAAAAAAGGCCAATGCAATCCTAGGCTGCATCAATAGAGGGAAAGTTTCACAATCATGTGAAGTAATAGTACCACTTTATACTACATTGGTGAGACCACATTTGGAATACTGTGCTTTTAAAAAACCTGATTATTATCTATTATCCTTTCAGGTGTTATTACCATATCATTTCCAGGTAGAGTTCTTGGCCTCAAATGTCATCCAGCTCTGATAACCAAATTATTTCATTGGATTATGTCAATACTGAATAATATGGTAATGGTAACAATTTTAGATTTACTTCGTCATGTAACATCTAGCACACAAAACAATTCCAGTTATTGCTGAATACTTCTGACAAATATAACCACTGTGAGCTAGTGTGTGGACAAAGATTTTTTTAAGGTTTTAAGAGTTTATGGGGACCAGGGGGAGTTAATACAATAAGTGAATAAAGCCAACTAGAAATGAAACACCTATACAATCACCCATTTTTTAAAAAGTGGAAATTCACATCTCAGTAAAGCATAACTCATTGACTAAGTTAAGTAGGAAATTTTGAGGAGATTCTGAGATAATTTAAAAAAAAGGAATGGAACCAAATCAGAGTATGGATAGCCACCTCTTTTATAAAGCTTATGCAAAGCTCTTTCCATCCACCCGAAGTGGCAGCACGTTTTATAGCTGTGTAAATTGAACCAATGCGAAATGAGTCCTCTTTGGTTGAAGATTGATTTTAATAGGCTAATTTAAGAGCTTTGCCAGCTCCTACTGCATCTATAGTATACCCATGTGTACCATCAACCATATTTGTGAGAACTCACTGCACAGTGCAGAAAAAAAAAAGTAGGCAAAGGGAAAACGCTGAATTCCACTGGCAGATGAGAGAGTAGACAGTCAGATACCTAAATGGACTAAATAGAAATACAATTATTCTGAGAGGAAAAATTAATGCAGCATTGCAAATAATAAAGGAAAGGGTTCTTTAAACCATCCTGCAATCATTATTCAACATTTCCTAACCTTGCAACATTTCTAATGGCTTGGCTCTATGGAAAAGAAAAAAACTTACAGTAGAAGGTGACCGCAAGCTATTAGCTTAGGAGTACCTGATATCTGTTCCAGTTAGAAAGCGAAAAAGTGTGGCTGGATTCATGTATTTTAGATATCAGCCCGCTCCCACCACCTCCTCCCCATTCACATACTTTTAAAAAGTTTACACAGACCAAACAAAAAACCGTTCACTGCCTTGTGTAGCATCTGGCAAGATATGCATATCTACCAGCCCCGTAAAACTCTAAAATAAAAAAAATAAAAAATCAAGAATACTGCCACTAACATCAGAAGTGTGAGAGTTAAGCTAAGAAAAACAGATGCTACCGCAGAATTGTGCTTGAAAATGGGGGACGAAAGAGAAGAGAAATAAATATCGCTTTTGGAAAGCAAGCTTAAATATTTCTGCCCCTTTCAAACGTGGGGGGGGGGGGGGAGGAAAGGGAATTCTTGTAAACTTTTCCAATATAATTGTAACATTTTTTATTTTGCACAACTCACATAAACTTATCTTTTCTAAATAGTAAAAATATCCTAAACACTATATGACAATTACCGCTCCTTAAAAGTTTCATTATCAAAAAGGCTGGCCACACAAACAGTCAATATTTGTACAATTTTTAAGATATAAAAAAGCAGACAATGCAACAATTCAAAATATTTAGGATTGGCTTCACACAACTGCATTAATTTCAAGTCTTAAAGTCAATCTCCATTAATTCTCTGCACTAATAGAAGGAAGAACTATACGAACCTTAACCACGAGCCACTTTCCCAAGAACTTTAGTCTTCTAACTCTGATCTGTAGCGGTCTTGCATTTAAGTCCCTTGTGAGCAGCAGATTCACTCATTTATTCATTCACTAGCCTATCATTTCAGAGGTCAGTGAAAGAGTACCGCCCCTTTTCCTTATTTCTGTATGCCTCTCCCCGCCTATTCAAGGACAGGAATTATTAGTATCTAGGTTTGTTATCTCCAGGTGTTTATAATAACCTTGGGAGTCAATCTCTCATATCCATTCAGTGCGATTTAATTTCTACATCCATATAGGGGCAGTCTACAGCAAGGATGAATAACCTGTGTTTTTCCAATTATTGCTGAACTCCCAGAAGCCCAGCCAGCATGGCTAATGATGAGGAATGAGGCTAGCTGTATTTCAGCAACATCTGGACTACAAAGAAGATACAAAGGCATAAATTACACGACAATTACACAGTTTAATGTGGGTTGTTCAGTTCTGGTCTCAACGGTTATGTGAACTCAACCATTGTAGCTTGTAATGTGTGATTTAAAACTTAATGTGCAGCCTGAACTCATCTGATTAAGTTTATTCAATAAACCATGAACGAACCATGGATTAGCATAACATGTAAACTTACTGAGATATACCTTTATATGATGGCATCACAGCATTTATTCTGCTAATATGCTTAACATAAGAAACTGCTGGTTCATGTGTAAATCTTTATTCTATGGTGGCTTAGTGGATGAAAAGGTCATAAGAACGGATTGGAGTGTAATAACCTTCTTCTACTGTTGCTTCCCTGCAACCAGGTTTTAAGACAGCTGTGTGGGTCAGGAAGTAGCAAAGAAACAAATGGTAGTAACTACTGATAGCTTAATGTTCCACAAACCTCTCCAGTCCTTTTTAAAACTTTCAAATCGGTTGCCACTGCAATTGTTGGCAATGGATTCCAGTTTAACAATGCACTGTATGGGGCAAAATTTTCAGTGGTTCTTGTAACATTTCATATTCACTTCAAATATATAACCTTAAGATCCAATGTTGGGAGAGCAGAAGAATCCTTCACATTAATCATTCCTTGAATATTTTGTACCTGTTGTATCAGCCATTATGCTCTTTTAAAATTAAAAAATGTCTTTCCTTGTATAGGACTATTCCACTCTCCTCATCATTTTAATTGCCTCTTTTTTTGTAACTTTATTAGCTCGGTAGCATTCCTAAGGTGCAGCGATCAGAACTTCACACAGTCCCACCACAGATTTGTGAATTTGATTTATTAATACTACATACTACTATTTTGATACTTTAATGAACTGTCCCTTGTGCTTCAAATCTCATTCTTGATCAATCATTGCCACCTGCCAATTGCATGGGGGTATCTGCCCTCTTATCCCAGGCAATTGCTAAGGAATTCTGGTAAGAACATCAGAATCCTTTAAAAAATTAAAATATTTTTCATTTGCTAGGTCACCCTTATCTAAATGTTTGTTGGTACATCTTAAAATCTACATTAGCAAGATAAGCCTTAATTTGTAGAAGCCATGTG